ATATATATTTTTAATTAAAATAAATTTAATAATAATTATTTTTTTTGTTTGAAAAATCACTGACAGAATATATTTTAATTTTTAATTAAAATAAACTTTATCAAAAATCTTTTTTAAATGTAATTTTTTTTTGTAAATGTAAGTACTTTTTTGTTATATTTGTTTAATTTTATARATCTAAATACTTTTTGGTTCAAAAAATATTTAGGGGCTTAATTGTTCAAAATATGAATGTTCATTGGGTTTTTTTCCGGATTTTTTTTCACTATTTTACCACTTTAACTAGTTATACAAGTCATAAGAATGTATCCAACATGTTTTATAAAAGTTCAAGAAGTTATTTAACATGTTTTGGATTGTTCAAGGACTTATTTGTTCCAAAAATTGTCCAAGAAGTTATTTAACATTTTTTGGAATGTCCAAGGATTTATTTGTTCCAAAAATTGCCCAAGAACTTATTTAACATATTTTGGAATGTCCAATGACTTATTTAACATGTTTTGGAATGTCCAAGGACTTATTTGTTCCAAAAAAAAAATCTAAGGACTTAATCATTCCAAACAAGAAAGTCTATTGGTTTTATTGTACTTTTCCCAATATTTAATTATGATCGATCAGTTTTAATTGGATATATTATAGTTATACCTAAACGTCTAGTTCTAATTAAGGTACTGGAGCTAATAATTGTTTTAAAGTTTGTGTGTCCATGCATGCAAGAGAAACAATATTGATTTATATTATGGTCTCCAAGTCAATTTTCAATTTATTTTGAGAGGGCTTTGAATCTTGACCTAACCCTACTTAGCTTTCTTACCCATGATTATACATACAAACACACACACACATATATATATATATATATATATTGTATGAAAAGCTTAACTTTGTAATAAACTGTTTGAATACATCCAATATTAGCATTACCCAATCTTTTTATTGATCTGGAAATCAATAATATATTAATGATGATGATAAATTGTGATWCATCCATATCATGATTCACGACCTTGTTTATTTTTCTGCCATAATTAATTTATTGGTTGTAGACAAGCATCAATATTCCAGCTCCACAAGATTGCTTTATATATATATATATATATATACATATACATTTATGTATCATCATCAATAAATAAGTTGAGTTAAACTAGAAGCAGATCAGATCAGAATATTATTAAAATTACTATCAAATTAAACAACAATCTATAAAAAACATGAATTTCATAATATAAAACATGGGCGGGGGTGGTTAGGTGGCTTACAAAATCTCTATATAAGGCAAGCTGGAACGAGTGAATTAAGACACACAAAACAATGGCTTCTCTTGCCACTCCTACTTCCTTCACTGCCATCCCGGCCACTACGCCGGCCACCACCACCAAAAGACTCCCAAATTCGCCTTTCTTGTCCACCTCCCGCCAACGTTCCAAACAATCTACCCACCGCAGCTTCAAAGTCTCGTGCAATGCCACCGATAACAATGAGAAGCSACTCGAATCCGAAAAACTTACACTGAATCTGGACCGGAGGAACTTGCTTTTAGGGCTTGGTGCCGGTGGCCTTTACAGCACGGTCAACTTACCGGCGGCCTTTGCCGATCCTATCACCACGCCTGACATCGCGACGTCGTGCAAGGACTCAACCGATGGTTTCAATCTCAACAATCACATAAGGACCAATGCATGTTGTCCTCCGACGTCACTAACCCCCGTACAAGATTATGTGATCCCTACGGATGAAGTGCTCCGCATGAGACCAGCAGCACATAGAGTCACTCCCGAGTACGTGGCTAAGTACCAGGCAGCAATGGCGATCATGAGGGCTCTCCCAGASGAMGACCCACACAGCTTCGCCCAACAAGCTAAAATTCATTGCGCTTACTGCAATGGTGGTTACCTTCAGGCTGGTTACACCGATAAGGAACTGCAGATTCACAACTGCTGGCTCTTCTTTCCTTTCCATCGTTGGTACCTGTACTTCTTCGAGAGAATACTCGGAAAATTGATTAACGATCCAACCTTTGCCTTACCCTACTGGAACTGGGACAATCCCAGCGGGATGAGTATGCCAGGATTCTTTGAAGGGAAATATTTGCCCAACTCCAACTCAAGGCTACCAAACCCTGCCTTTGACGCCTTTCGGAACGTGGATCATCTCCCCCCAGCCATCCTCAACATGGATTTCCAAAACTCTGCCAGTGCCGATTATACTTGCGTACAACAGATAGGCGCAAATCTGACTTTAATGTATAAGCAGATGATAACCAACTCCCCYAACGCAGACACCTTCTTTGGTGGGGTGTTCAGAGCTGGAGATGACCCCATTGATATACAGCATTCTACAGGGCCAATCGAGTCTGGTGTTCACACGGCGGTGCACATATGGGTGGGTGACYCAAGAATGCCCAATAACGAGGACATGGGCAACTTCTACTCGGCAGGTTGGGATCCTCTGTTCTACACCCACCATGCCAATGTGGACCGTATGTGGGCATTATGGAAGGATATGCAGGGGCCCGATTACCCCGACCACAYCGACCCTACAGACCCTGATTGGCTAAACGCGTCATACGTGTTTTATGACGAGAACAAAGAGCTTGTACGTGTCTACAACAGAGACTGTGTAAACGTGGAGAATCTAAGTTACGTATATGAACCGTCCCCACTCCCCTGGCTTAGAAGCCGACCAGTTCCACGTAACACGAACTCAAATGTTGCAGCCAAGTCCTTTGGAACGGTGAAAAAAGTGGAGGAGACGAAGTTCCCTGTTAAACTAGACCAGACAGTGAAGGTCCTGGTGAAGAGGCCAGCTACAAACAGAAGCAAAGAGGATAAGAAGAAAAGCTATGAGCTATTGTATGTCAATGATATCAAGCTCGACGGCGAGAAATTTATCAAGTTTGATGTGTTTGTAAATGACCTAGACGACGGTACCCCAAGCACTCCGACAGACAGTGAATTTGCAGGTAGTTTCTCGCAGTTGGCACATTTGCATGGGCATGAAATGGTGATGAGGAGTGGGGCATCGTTCGGGTTGAATGAGCTGTTGGAGGACATACAAGCCGAGAACGATGAGTATATTTTGGTGACATTGGTTCCCGGGGAAGGGTGCGAGGATGTGACCGTTGGTGAGATTAAGGTTGAGTTGGTTTCGTCTGCTAGTTGAGGATGATTGATGAGCATGGATGCAATGCTGGCTGATCCTTATTTCATTTGTCTGTCTGTTTGCTTTGAATAATCGTAGACCATGTACTGCATTACATGGTTGCGACTTCTTATTTAGTGGTAGCAAGTTCATCAAGTAATCAATGTATCCTTTAAATTTTACTATATGAATAATTTGTTATCATTCTCAATAAGTTGTTTGATAAATGATCATAACCATTCTGACGTTACTTTTGAAATGTGTCTGTAGTAGAAGACAAGATGGAGTCAGAATAACTAATTAAAGAAACTACAACGTTATTGACAAAAAGTTAGAATAATATCTAACAAAATCAAACTTGATGGATGAAGTAAAACCAAAGTCTCATCGATTGGTGCATTCAGATTAATTAAATAACTTATTGATACATATATAAATTATATATAAACTCTTCTTCCAAGCAGACGAATGAATCAACACATTTTCCATTTTAAAAGTTACACACTTCCACATGTGACATGTGTGAATTTTATATTTATTAATTATAGGACAYCTTCAATTAAAATATATWCTAATTATATGTGGTASGAGTTTCAAATTAAAATAATATTTATTTGAAAAAGTATGTTTGAATACGTATATATCTACTCACATGAATAATATTTGTAACTTTGATTTATGGTATGCATTGTTAAGCAGACTCTTTTTTTTATATTTTTTAATGATTAATGTATGAACATTTGCTTAACATTAATCCATTTCTTATTTTACGATGATATTTAGTTTTCTTATTTGAATCGACCTTTATATGTAGAGAGGGAGAAACAAAGAAGAGCATGAAGAAAATAAAAAAACACAAAACGACCAAATCATACGTGATTTTGCACTAGTATATACATACATATATATATATATACACACACACATATACATATATAGGGTTGATTCACATGAGACCAGTTTGTTTTCGTCAGACCCGTCAGACCACCTTTTTACACTTGAAACTTCACAGCAGAACGTTGTGAAAGTAAAAAAAACCCCGAACCTTCATACCAAAAACAACTATGAATGTTACCTTCACAGAGTTTTTCTGTGAAGTTTCAAGTGTAATAAAGTGGTCTCACGGGTTTCACGAATACAGACTGATCTCACGTGATCCAAAGGCTACATATATATATATATATATATACGTAGATACATACATACATATACATACATGCATACATACATATATTCATTCACTTTGTCAATCGGTTTGCGGATGATAAGTCGTGCTTAACTTTATTTGTGAACTCATTTCTGTTTTAGAACTCTTCCAGAACATAGCTGTGAAAATCAACTATCTCGATAAAAAATGACTAACAATGGGACACTGTGACGTGTTACCACTTCAATAATATATAATTTCGCTAGTCGGTCCATAAAATACGATCCTTTCATCGGTAAGAAATGAGTAGACTTATATAATCGATCCACCACAACCCATATAGCATCAAATCCCTTCGGTGTTCTAGGTAGTTTGATTATGAAATCCATTGTAATGTGATCTCATTTCTAAATCGAAATTTCTAATGACTGCAACTTATTGTARGGTCGTTGATGCTCTATCTTCACTTGCATGCATGTCATAAACTGATCAACATGTCTCGCTATATCCTTCTTCATGCACGACCACCAGTAGTATTGTTTCACATCTTGATACATTTATTTGTACCCGAGTGGATGGAMAAACGAGATTTGTGAGTTTCACTCAAAATTCGTTCTCTGAGATTACCRTAGCACGGTACCCAAACCCTRTTCTGGAAACACAACAATTCTCGACTGTCTTTTACCAATTCAGGCAATACCCCACCAAGTCGTTCTTGCTTGATCTTGTCTTCTCTCACGGCTTCACCTTGGAAATTTTGTAGTTCTTCGTGAATGCTTGGTAATAATCARCTCTTAATGCTATARCTTTAATYGTATCGCTCTTTTCTTTACGGCTTAAYGCGTCAKCTACCACGTTAGCCTTTCCTGGATGATAGATGATCTCACAATCATAATCATTAACCAGTTCCAACCATCGTCTTTGGYGCATATTCARTTCTTTCTGATTGAACAAATGCTGCAAACTTCTATGATCAGTAAAAATTTGGCATTTAGTCCCATACAAGTAATGCCTCCATATTTTTAAAGCAAAAACTACCACTGCCTGCTCYATATCATCAGTAGGATCTTGTTTTTCATGATTCTTTAACTACCTTGAGGCGGTAAGCAATCACTTTTTCATGTTGCATTAATAAGCAACCCAAACAYGGTTTCGRGGCATCACTATAGACCATAAAATCTTCCATACCATTAGGTAAGGATAGAATTGGTGYGCTCYACAARTTATCTTTTAACATCTGAAAAGCTTYAGCTTGTACCTCCTTCCATTCAAATTTCACATTYTTTTTCGTCAACCCRGTTAATGGTGTAGCAATACAAGAAAAAGCTTGTATAAACTTCTGATAATAACCTGTCAATCCAAGAAACTCCTGATTTATGTTGGTGTTTTCGGTGCTTCCCACTTCTCTATGGCTTCAAGAGGGGATCCACTTTAATACCCACCTCAAAAATGACATGGCCCAAAATTTGGACTTCTTGTAACCAAAACTCATATTTTGACATCTTTGCATACAACTTGTCTTGTTTCAAAAGTTCTAGAATCTRTCGCAGATGATTTGYGTGCTCTTCCTCAGATCAAGAGTATATCAGTATAATATYGATAAAAACAATAACAAATTTATAGAGATATGGACTGCATACCCTATTCATCATGTCCATGAATRKYGCTAGTGCGTTTATAAGTCAAAACGACATTACTRGAWACTCATAGTGCSCATAGCGYGTAYRAAATGTTGTCTTCGACACATCTTCTTCTCGAATCATTAGCTGATGATAACCGGATCGTAGGTCAAACTTTGAAAAGTAACTAGCCCCAATCAATTTATCAAATAAATCATCAATTTCTTGAGAGTGTATACTTGTTTTTGATTGTCAACTTATTTAACTCACGGTAGTCGATACACATTCTCATCGATCCGTCTTTCTTCTTTACAAACATCGGTGCATACCAAGGAGATGTATTGGGTCAGATAAAAACTTTTTCCAGCAATTCTTTCAGCTGTGACATTAACTCCTTCAACTCAGACGAAACTAATCTATATGGTGCACGAGCAACTGGCATAGCTCCAGGTAACAACTCGATCTGAAATTTTATCGACCGATCAGGAGGTAAACTCGATAGGTCTTTCGAAAACACTTCTAGAAACTCACTTACAACATGAATATCCTTCATCTTATTCTTTTCTTTTCTTTATATCGATCACATACGTGGAAAACTGATACACCTCTTATGTACATACTTTCGAGCCTTTAAAACGGAAATAAGACTGGAATAACGGATACACTTCTTTATATCGTTGTGATTTATACAACGTTGGTCGCGAGGTCATTAATCAAGTCGTCTGCTCACGCCTTGTATTGACCGTGTTCGGTAATCACATGTGATTTTAGTGTAAAATCATATACGATTTGCCAATATATATAGGGTGGGATATTTGCACTCTTACCTATATGTTAAAGGCATCTATTTCCTATCTATTATTCATTATAACCCAATGATTTCATTATCATCCAACTTTATTTGTATTTTACTATTATTTATTTTTATTTGTATTTATTATTATTGTTAATACTTTTTTAATTTAATCAAACTCTTATTATTGTTGTTGTTGTTATTATGAGAGGATAATATATTTTGTATTAATATTTAATATTTAAGATAAAATACATATTATTTTTTAAACATTATGTATTTTATAAACAAGTATAAAAAATAAAAAAAATTATTTTATTTTAAATTTTTAAATTTCTATTGACTTTTTCAATATTAATATTATTTATTTTATATATTTTTATTATAACAATATTATTTTTTTAAAATAAAACATGATACAACTAAAATCAATTTATATTTGAAGTTTTAATAAAAAATGATGAGTTATTGTCTGAATTGTTAAGGATTGCTGAAAAATTGATGAAATTATTATTTGAATATTTAAAAACTTAAATAAAGATTAATTAGTTATTCTTTAAGTTTTAAAGTTGGAAAAAGATGATGGATTATTTTTTGAATTTTTAATTTGCAGAATGATTAATGACATGTTTTATTAAAATATAGATARAATGAAAATTAAGGATTAGAATATGAAATTTTAAAGTTTTTATTCAATTTTTATACGGACAAACCATACGACTACATACATATGACTAAAATCTATCAAATTACAAAGTCAATGATATTTTTTTGGGCAAATTGCATGAAAAAGTAACGTACTTTAATTAACTTGATTCATACTTTGGGTAATGTACTTTCAAAACTTCTATTTTGGTATCTAAGATATAAAATTTTAAACATGTAAGTACCCAGATAAACTGTTGAAGCATTAACCAGTTATCATGTTGATGTGTCGATTGATATGGTATCAAATTCAATATTATTTGCTAACATGGTTAGTAGCATGATTTTTTTTAAATCTAAAATTAGTCTTCAATTGGTTACTCGGGTACTTAAATATTTAAACTTTACATTTTAGGTACCAAAATAGAAGTTTTGAAAGTACGTTACCCAAAATAGGAATTAAGTTAAAGTACGTTACTTTTTTATGCAATTTGCCTTTTTTTTATATATATAAATAACATGACATATTGTCTTTCTAGTTTATTGATAATAAATTTAATTAATATATAATACAAATAAAATTTATAATTACTATAAGCTAATAATWATTATTATATATTAATTAGAAAACAAAAAAAGTAAAGGAGTGAGAGAGGGGGGAGGGGAAGATAAGAGAAAGAATAGACTCTGAAATAATGTGATTTTTCAAACTTTTATGTCATTTAATGTTATTTAGTAGATTTTTTTTTTGCATTTTTAATAAGTAGGGGGTGCAAAAGATAAACCCATGTATATATTGGGTCATAATGTCGGGAGCTTCAATTGTCAATAAGGGAAGATGGATTTGTGAATAGTCACATTGGGGAATGAACGATTGGAGTGACTGGTCCTGACGTTGCGCAGATAAAAGTTCCGCATAGAAAAGTTATACACGATGTTTATAATCTTGTTATTAAGAGATTTT